CAATCTTGGTATAGATGTATCTACTTAGAAAGCTCAAAATAGAAAGAAAACGGGGGATAGTGCAGATTGTATAAAAGTAACAAATGTATTATTACAAGTTGCACTTACAAATTGGCAGATGAAAAACAGCATATCTCCATAACAATGCGGTATCCAGGTATCCAATGGGCAGCAGGAAAAATCCCAGGACCACAAGTACAGGGTAAAAACAGATACAAGTAAAAACATTTAATATCAGAAAATACATGTTTATTTGCTGATATTAAAGGTTTCTATTTTTATCTGACATGGACAACTTTTTCCAATGTAGCAAACCTGGATATTGAATGTGGCTGCCATAGATATACCTGTGATAGTGTCCCTGATTTAGGCTTTCATGTCCTGCCATCTATATAGACCTACTTAATACCTCCTGTGGCAAACCTAGCCACTCGGACTATAACTGGACACTATGCCTTTAAGGGTTGCCTATAGGTCTGGAGAGAGATGCGTTATACCTGTATGTGCCTGCTTCATGTATTCCCTGCATTGCCTGTAACTATCTGTTCCACCGAATGCAAATGGCGGTTTGTATGGGGATCCCCGTTCGTTTCGCGAACGGCACTTTGGAGGGCCGTTCGTGAAACGAATGCGATACCCCCTAATAGCCCACACACTTAGAGGCGTGTGGCGCTAGTTAACCGATTGCAACATTGTTGCAATCGGTTATTAGAGGCCCTCCTGGGTGGCCGTCGTTCGACTACCGACCATGCGGCGGTCGGCCATCTTGGATCCCTTGTTCGTCAGCGGGTCCGTGTCGTCGAACGCATAGCATTACCAACAGTTATTCGACGGCACGAACACCGCTAAACCTCCAGGACGTTCGGGAGTTTCAGGACCAGGTTCACTAAAAGCAATCGGTTCTTTTCATGTGTTTTGAAAGAAATGTGTTTTCTGTGCGGCGTTCGGTTAGTTTAGCTGGGATCTGAGCGGCAATCTCACGAATAAGGCGCCCAGACCCCAGCTATCTACCGAACGTCCATTCGTGTAAATCCACCGTATATTGTACCAGCGGTAGATTTTTGTGTAAATTGCCGGTTCTGCTGCACGAGGGGATAATCCCCTTAACAGTGCATTCTGGGAGGATGATCCCTCTCGTGCAGCGGTGCCTGATGGGAGAAATATGTAGTACTGTAAGTCCCCCATGTAGTCCCCTCCTGTACAACCCCTGTAATGTCTGTTTGGAAACCCCTTGCATGGGGAATTGCATAAATACTGTGACCTGTGATTAAAACCTCAGTTGACTCCCAGCCTATGTGTCGTCTAGTTCTTGGGAAGGAAGGGTTACTGCAGTGCTGTTTGGATTATTATATGCTGATTCCCTGGATTATCCTTTGTTGTTCCTGTTACCCAGCGGAGATATCGTGGATCATACTGCCTCTCCGCTACAATTGGTGGCAAGCGACGGGATTGAATTTACACAGCAAAGCAACGTTCGGCAGATTTTTAAACGAATCAAGGAACAAGCATTCGGGAATTAGCGCATTCGAATAAACCTCACGAACAGCAGGTGAATGGGAACAGATTACGCCCTGCTAAAACGGAGCACATTAAAGGAGCAGCTGGAAGCAAGAGGAGCAATCGCCAGTAACAAGGCAAAGGCTGTCCTAATTACGGAACTCATGGAAGGAGACAGAGCCGCAGCTGCTGCAGCACCTCAAGTGGAGGGACAAACCAACGAATTTACAGCGGAATTCCGAGCACGAATGGCTTTATTCCCTGAACAACCATCTACAGAAATGTTTAACCGGCTGTTCGCTGATGTACAGGAGTACATCATGGCTAGGGGACCGCCAGGAAACCAGCAAGCCAGAGAAAGAGCCGCAACGCCAGCCCATATTTTCCCAGGGAAAGCCAAAATCCCATATCAAGCCTTCAAAAGCTATGTGGAGGCAGAGGGTGGCGTTGACGACTATTTACAGGATTTCGAGAGACTGTGTTTGCTGCACGAAATTAATGATGCAGACAGAGTACCCCTACTAGCGGGGAGATTATCTGGGCGAGCCGCCGAAGCGTACCGGGCAGTACCAGACGAGGATAGTAGAGACTACGCTAAAGTAAAACGCGCCATCCTAGCCCGGTATGCCATCACATCAGAGGCATACCGAAAGAAGTTTCGGGACATTAAAAAACCCAGTAAGGACACCCATGTGGAATGGGCGCACCAGCTGCAACGAGCTGCCAAAGGGTGGCTGGAGGCCGCCCAAGTTGATACATTGGAGGGTCTGTTCCAGCTAGTAGTACTGGAACAATTCTTCAATGGCGTCCCGACCTACCTACAAAACTGGATCCGGGACAGAAAGCCACACACCCTGCAGGAAGCGGCTAATATGGCAGACGATTTCCAGGACAATCGGAGAGATCAACCCATACCAACCCGAGCCACCATCCCCCCTACAACGGCCAGCCCTCCCGGGGGCCCCGCAACGTACCAGCGGCCAGGGGTAAACCGGAATTCATAGCCCCCCAGATATTCAGCACGTCCACCAATCCGGTGTCATACCTGCAACCAACAGGGGCACATCCAGAGAGACTGCCCACGGAACCGGCCTCGACCCAGCTGGAATAACGCCACCCCGAGCAACCGTGCCGCAGTCCATTGTCTACAGGACGAATCCTACCAAAATCTGGAGTTGGGGACAACCCGGGAGGAACCCCTCGGTACTCTACACGAGGTGAACCCTATCCAGGCCGCCTCCGATAACCGCCAAGGGCACCGCCAGGAAGTACACATGGAGGGGAGGAAAGTACAAGGACTTCGTGACTCTGGAGCCACCCTAACTCTAGTATGCAGTCATCTGGTACCAAAGCCCAAGCTCACGGGGGACTGTGTGGCTGTGCGGGTGGCTGGGGGAGCCATTTACAAAGTACCCACGGCCAAGGTGCACTTGAATTGGGGAGCGGGGCACGGGAATGTATATGTGGGGATGATGCAAGACTTGCCAGCGGATGTGATTTTGGGCAACGATTTGGGGGAACTGACTTCAGCTTTTGTTCCCCAGCCCACCGTACAAGAAGCATACCCGGTTGTGACCCGGCAACAGGCCCGCACCACTGCACCATCCGAACACTCTGAGGCTCAGGTAAGCAATGACCCTCCCCTACCCCCTATCCTGCCCTGGGCCAATTCCATAGAGTTCGGGGCCGAAGTAGCCCTAGATCCTTCGTTACAGGTGTACAAACACCGCATGGATAAAAATCAAGCCGGGTTAGAGGGGGAAAGATATATCTGGGACAAAGGACTATTATATCGGCACGCAGAGAAGGTAGTGTCCGGGTCAATACCGTTGCCCATTAAACAGCTAATAGTACCTCGAAAGTATAGGTTAGAGCTGTTACGCATAGCCCATGATATCCCTCTGTCCGGACACCTGGGCATCAGTCGGACCAAGCACAGGCTGACCCAAAATTTCTTTTGGCCAGGTATTTCCCAGGATATTAAACGATATTGTCAGACCTGCGATACCTGCCAAAGGGTAGGCAAGAGGGGGGACAGATACAAAGCCCGACTACGGTCTCTGCCCATCATTGAAGAACCATTCAGTAGGGTGGCAGTAGACATTATAGGTCCCCTTGCCAAACCCAGCCCCTCCGGCAAGAAGTATGTCCTAACTGTGGTGGACTACGCCACCCGGTACCCCGAGGCAGTGGCCCTAACGAACGTCCACGCAGAAACGGTAGCCGAGGCCCTGATGAGGATATTCACCCGGGTAGGATTTCCCCGGGAGATTATCTCCGATAGAGGCACCCAGTTTACTGCTGAAGTGACCCATCAGCTCTGGAAAATATGTGGGATACAACAAATCCTCAACTCCCCATATCACCCCCAGTCCAATGGGCTCTGTGAACGATTTAACGGAACCCTGAAACAAATGATCCGCACGTTCATGGACACCCAAAAGGACTGGGAGCGGTTCTTACCCCACCTACTGTTCGCGTATCGAGAAGTGCCACAAGAATCCACCGGATTCTCTCCGTTCGAATTATTATTCGGGAGGAGAGTGAGGGGACCTCTTGACTTGATACGGGAACACTGGGAGGGAGACGAAACCGTTAATGGCACCCCTATCTTACCATATGTGCTCGAGTTCCGGGAACGCCTGGAGAGGCTAACCCAGACCGTCCGAGACAATCTCCAGGTAGCGCAACAACGACAGCGCCGATGGTATGATAAGGGAGCCAGGGACCGCAGCTTTCAGGTGGGGCAGAAAGTCCTAATCCTGCGACCCGTCCACAAAGATAAGCTGCAGGCTTCCTGGCAGGGCCCATACAAGGTGGTGGAACAGATCTGTGACACCACCTATGTGATCGGCCCGGTTACCGGCGTGGGAGGCAAACGCATGCTCCATGTGAACATGCTCAAGCCATACCACGAACGGACTGAGGAAGTCACCGCAATCTGTGCCCCTGCCACGGAAGATTTTGATAACCTACCCCTACCCGATCTCCTAGACCAAGAGGGCCAGAGCGGAGATCTGGGAGAGGTACAGTTAGGAGAAAGATTAAATACCCAAGAACGGGCCCAGGTACAAAAGTTGCTTCGGGAAAAGAAGGCCACGTTTTCCAATTTACCCGGCTATACCCGTTGGCTACCCATAAGGTAGAAACGTTAGATTCGACCCCCTTGCGCCAACCCCCCTACCGCACTCCAGAAGCAGTCAAGGAGAATATGCGCAAGGAAATTGAGGAGATGATTCAGCTAGGAGTAATAGAGCACTCGGACAGCCCCTGGGCCTCCCCGGTAGTACTGGTGCCGAAACGGGATGGGACGACCCGTTTCTGCGTAGACTACCGGCGGCTCAATGATAAAACGACCTCTGACGCATACCCCATGCCCCGAATAGACGAACTCCTCGACAAGATGGCCAGGGGTCAATACCTAACCACTATAGACTTGTGCAAAGGGTACTGGCAGATTCCCTTAGCGGAAGACGCCATCCCTAAGTCGGCTTTTGTCACCCCGTTTGGCCTGTATCAGTTTAAGGTTATGCCATTCGGGATGAAAAACGCTCCAGCTACCTTCCAGAGAATGGTAGACAGACTATTAGATGGGTTTCAGGAGTATGCCTGCGCGTATCTAGACGATATCGCCATATTCAGCCACTCCTGGCACGAACATCTGGTTCACATAGGAGCCATTCTAGACCGAATCCGAGAGGCCGGACTGACCCTAAAACCCAGCAAATGCCATATCGGTATGGCGGAAGTCCAGTATCTGGGGCACCGGGTAGGGAGTGGGCAACAGAAACCCGAACCTGCTAAAATAGAGGCAGTCGCCCAATGGCCTACCCCTCGCACCAAGACCCAAGTGCTCGCCTTTTTAGGGACCGCCGGGTACTACCGGAAATTTGTGGCCAACTATAGCGCCCTTGCCAAACCCCTCACAGACCTGACCCGCAAGAACCTCCCTAAGTTAGTAGT